AAATTCAAAACCAATTCTCAATATTTTCTCAAAACAATTCTAATAACTCAATAATTCAAATAATAATGATTATTAAAATCAATTCCTGTTTTCAAAAAAAAAAAAAAAAACCAATTCCTCTTTTTAAAAACCAATTCCTCACCCAAGTGTGCACACTCTTCAAATTAGTGTCTTTAAGTAGAAAGGCTAGCCTTGAGGAAAGATTAGGTCATACAAAGTCCATAGTCTTATCAATCAAATCTGCATAGTGGGATTAATATAATCATGCTTGTAAAGCTTTAATAAATAATTCAATAATTCTCATGAAATTCCTCTTTGAAATAAAATAAAACTCAAAACTCCTTTTTATTTAATTCAACTTGCTTTCAAAATGAAACCTTTTAAATATTGAATTCCAACTCCAAACTCTTTAAATCAATCCAACATACTTTTGAAAACAAAATTTCTTTAAACATGATAATTAATTTCAAACCATTCAAAACAAGATATAAAAATCCATTCTCAATCAATTTATTAAAACATGATTTCTCAAGGTTAATTTATAAATCATAATTCAAAACAATTTAATTCAATCATCATTAAAATCACAAAAACATGCTTATTCAATCCAATCAATTGTTGAAGGTAACTAGCCACTTAAACGTACCTTGATCCTCACTTAGCAAATACAAAAAGAACCTCAAGAACTCTTGTCAAAAACACCCTACAATAAAATATATCCTTAATTAATATAAAGTCATCAAACAATCACAACAATTAAAATAAAACCCCCAACTATATGTACATGAACCTTATAAATTTTTTTTTTTGATAAACTTGAATAATAAACAAATTTTATTTAATTTTAAACACCTATAATAATTTTTAAAAAACACTAATAATAATAATAATAATAATAATAATAATAATAATAATCATAATAATAATAATAATAACAATAATAATAATAGAATTAATTAGGAGGAGAGAATAAGAAGTAGAAAAAACGAAGAAGAGGTGGAAGGAGAAGCTCGGCAAGGGGCAGTAGCACGCCGGCAGGTGGCAATTGCTGGTGGTCAGCGTCGGGGCTGGCCGCAGAAGGTGGCAGCCGGCAGTGGAGGTGGTTTGCGGTGGTGGTTGTGCACGAAAATCGAGGGGAAAGGAGGAGAGAATTAGAGAGAAAGAAGAGAGTTTTTGGCTTTGATTCAAGGGGTATTTATAGGCTCATGAATGAAAGAATTAAGGTAAGAAAATGTAGGAAGAAATATGGCAAATTTAGTTTAAGGAATTACTTGGAAAAGAAAGCTAAAGAATTAAGGAAAGTTTAGTTTTATGGTGATTAAGAAACTAAGAAATAAGGTAAGTGTGTAGTCATGAAATATTAAAATGGTAAGTGGTTTTGCTTGGGGAATAATCAAGTATGGTTTAAGGTAAATAAATAAGGTGATCAAATCTTTATGAGATGGGACATACGAATTAGGGAAATAATAGAAATTAAGGAAGATAATTAAAATACAAAACTACCAAAATAAATTTCTTAAAAATCATCCAAGGTAGCCGAAATTTTTGAGCTTTCCTAAGCTCATATTTTTGGTCCTCATGATTAGATTTAGAAATTAGTTTTCTAAATTTTAAGGATTAAAAATGATTGTGTAAATAATATATTTTGTACAAATTATTAATTAGAAAAATACCAACTTTAAACTAAATAATTAGTCATGAAAAATTAGATTTTCTATATCTAGAAAATCCGAAATTCCTAGCCTAATTAAATAGATTTTCAGCCCTTTATAAAATAAATAGGAAAATATAATTTTTGCTTAATTAAAATATCCGGAATATATATATAATCCGGTTTTTTAAATAAAATAAATGGATAGTAAATCTTATCCAAAAATCCGAAAATATAAGTAAGTTTCAAAAATGTTTTTGGCACTAAAATTCAATTATCATTTTGGCTAAAAAATTTAAATAGTAAAAATAATTACTAAAATATCCTTTTTAGAAAATACTCATTAATTAATTAACTAGAAAATACTTTTCAAAAATACGGGGTATTAAAATACACCCCCCCCCCCCCTAAAAGAAGTTTCGCCCCGAAACTTAGCCAAAAGAAAAACAAAAATCATTTAAAGTTATTGGTTCATGCACATCCTAACCCGACTCAAGATTGCAACTAACTCAAGAAAGACTCAAAATCACTCAAAAATGACTCAAAATGCAAACGCCCGAAACTTTATCGCCTCTACTTCCCTTAAAAGGAGTTACTTCCCCGTAACTCAACCACTAACCTTTTGGCAAACAATTCTGGGTAAAGTTTTCTCATATCAACCTCAGCTTCCCAAGTAGCCTCCTCAGTTTTATGGTTCGACCATAACACTTTCACAATTCTCACATCCTTGTTTCTTGTGCTTCTCACTTAGTAAAATTTTCACTGGTCTTTTCTCATAGGTCAAATTCTCATCCATCTCAATGGTTTCAGGTTGTAACTCATGTGTCACATCAGGTACATACTTTCGAATTTGACTCTCATGAAACACATTGTGAACCTTTTCCAATTCATTGGGAAAAATCCATCTTATAAGCCACTTTTCCCACTATCTGAATTATCTCATATGGCCCTATGTACTTTGGGCTTAGCTTTCCTTTCTTCCCGAACCTCATTACCCCTTTCATGGGTGAAATCTTCAACAACACTTTCTCTCCCACTTCATATTCTTCATCCCTTCTTTTCGAATCAGCATAACTCTTCTGTCAGTCTTGGGCTGCCTTGATCTTTTCTTGGATCAACTTCACTTGTTTCACCATATCCTCAATCATTTCAGGCCTAAGAACCATTGTCTCACTTATATCATTCTAGCAAATTGGGCTTCTACACTTCCGACCATACAGAGCTTCAAACGATGCCATTCCAATGCTTGCATGGTAAATGTTGTTGTAAGAAAACTCGATAAAATCCAAGTGGTCTTCCCAAGACCCTTAGTACTCCATCACACAAGCTCTCAACATATCTTCCAATGTCTGGATCATTCTCTCAGTCTGACCATCCGTGGCAGGATGAAATGATGTGCTCATTAGCAACTTCATTCCCATCGCCTTTTGCAAACTTTGCCAAAAGTTAGACTGGAATCTTGAATCTTTATCCAAAATAATATCCGTGGGTACCCCATGGTACTTCACCACAAACTTCACATAAGCTTTACCTAACTGATCCATACTCCAAGTACTTCTCATGGGTATAAATGTTGCTGACTTCGTCAACCTGTCCACTATTACCCAAATAGTCTTATTCCCAACATTTGTCTTAGGCAATGCTCCAACAAAATCCACATAAATCGAATCCCACTTCTAACTCAGCACTTTCAAGGATTGGACCTTTCGTTGAGGCCTATGATGCTCAATCTTTACTTTCTGACATGTCAAACACTTTGTCGCAAACTCAGCTATTTCTCTCTTCATATTGGGCCACCAAAACGTCTTCTTCATATCCTTATACAATTTATCCCCTCCAAGATGCATTGAATAAGGAGAATTATGGGCTTCTTCCATTAGCCTTCGCTTCAAATCTCCACGACTCTCTAGCACACACCATCTTCCCTTGAAATTAATACTCCCTTCATCACTTATGGTGAAATCCAACACTTGTCCTTCATCGATCTTCTTCTTTATAGCCTTTAACTTCTCATCCTCAAGTTGACTCTCCCTGATCTCATCATAAATGGATGATCGAACCACTAATGCATTCAACATCCTAGTCACTTCTCCATGTTCCATCACTTCCAAATTCATTTTCTGAAACTCCACACACAACTGATCTGGTAACACCATCACATTCATAGAATTTTTTGACTTCCTACTCAAAGCTTCTGCCACAACATTAGCTTTACCCTCATGGTATTGAATGTCCAATTCATAATCACTGAGAAATTCCATCAATAACCTTTATCTTCCATTCAAATCCCTTTGGGTGAAAATGTACTTCAAACTCTTGCGGTCCGTGAAAATCTTACAAGTTTCCCCATACAAGTAATGTCTCCAAATCTTCAAAGCAAACACAATTGCTGCTAACTACAAATCATGGGTCGGGTAATTCACCTCATGAGGTTTCAACTGCCTTGAAGCATATGGAATCACTCTCCGACTCTGCATTAAAACACACCCTAATCCAAACTTCGATGCATCACTATACACTTCATATAGAACGCTCCCATCAGGCAAAGCCAGCACAGGTGCTATGGTTAACCTTTCTTTCAAGGTCTGAAACGCCTTTTTACATTCTTGAGTCCACGAAAACTTATGCTCCTTTTTCATCAAACTTGTCATGAGCCTCGAAATCCTTGAAAAAACTTTCGTAAACCTTCTGTGATAGCCTGCCAAACCCAAGAAACTCCTTACATCCGACACATTCTTTGGGGTTGGCCATTAACTGACAGCTCGAATCTTTGCTGGATCAACTGAAACTCGTTCCTTAAAAATTACATGACCCAAGAATGCCACTTTCTCCGACCAAAATTCACACTTGGACAACTTAGCATACAACTGATGCTCCCTCAAAAGTAACAACACTTGTCTCAAATGCTCCTCATGCTCCTCTTTATCCTTTGAATAAATCAAAATATCATCAATGAACACCACTACAAACTTATCCGAGTATGGTCTGAAAATCCTATGCATCAAATCCATGAACACTGCTGGTGCATTGGTCAAACAAAACGGCATAATAGTGAACTCATAGTGACCATAACGGGTCTTGAAAGAACTGTTTAAAATATCTTGCTCTGCAATCCTCAACCGGTGATAACCTGATCTCAAATCTATCTACGAAAACACTCAGGCCCCTTTCAATTGATCAAACAAATCATCAATCCTCAGCAATGGATACTTATTCTTCCCTCTAACCTTATTCAACTCTTGATAATACACAGTATCATACTCCCATACTTTTTCTTTACAAACAACACTGGAGCTCCCCAAGGTGAGAAACTAGGTCGAATGTAACCTATCTCCAACAAATCATCCAACTAAGTCTTCAACTCTTTCATCTCAACTGGAGCCATCCTATATGGAGCCTTAGAAATAGGTCCAGTACCAGGCACTAGGTCGATAGTGAACTCCACATCCCTTACTGGTGGCATATCAGGAATCTCATCTCGAAATACATTAGGAAACTCTTCTATAACTGGAATACTCTCATCACTCTTCTCTTCCTTATTTCCAACTTCCCGAACACTACACATAAACAGAGGATAACCCTTCTTAACAAACTTCAATAGTTGTATTGCAGAAATAAATCTCAACCATGAACTCTTCTCTTCCTTTCTAGATGGCACTCTAGTCTTACTTGGGCTATTCAAAGCAACCTTTTCAACTACACAGTCAATCTTGGCTTCATACTTTCCGAACCAATCCATATCCAAAATCACATCGAGATCCTTCAAATCGAACTCGATTAAATCTGATGGAAATTCTGCCCCAAAAATGGAAATAGATACACTTCTAAACAACTTGGAACAATTCCTCACTTCCCTAGACGGAATAGACACATATAGAGAATCTGACTCAAGACTGACTAACCCCAACACTTTCAACTACGGTCTTAGAAATAAATGAATGGGATACACTCGAGTTAAACAAAACTTTCACAGATAGAGAACTTATGAGGAAAACACCGATTACCACATCATTAGAAGTTTCAGCCTCACGGTTTTTCATCACGAACATACGACCCTTTGGGTCCTGCACCGCTACTAGTTCCAATCTTGGGTGTAGGTCCACTAGGCTGCGATGGTTTTCTAAGAGTACTAGACTCTTTCACCTTTCCTGACTTAACGTCAACCTCTTTCTCGAAACACTCATACTCACGGTGTCCCAACTTCTGACAGTAACGACAAGTTACCGGGTTCCCCTCACAGTCCTTCCTAGGGTGGTCTTTCTCACACTGCTTACAGAGATACTTTCTCTTAGGCTTCTCATCCCTTTGGTTTCCATTCCCTCTAGCGTTGGCCAAATGGCCTCCATTCCCTTTCCCAAAGTACCCTTTGTTGTCCCTCCTATCTTCAAAATTCCCTTGGTGGTTACCATTGGGCTTATGCCTCTTTTCACCCCCTTGAAAAGAGTCCGGGTTCTTCCTTTTCTCTCCAGAATGATCCTTCTCTCTCCCCTTAATACCATACAGGTGGGCTGCACGGCCATAGATTTCTTTTAAGGTCTCAAAAGTTACTCCCCTTAGTTTCCCTTGGAGGGTCAGGGTCAGGCCTTGCTCAAATCTCTAAGCTTTGATGGTTTCGGTGGGAACTACTTCTGGGGCAAAGCTCATCAACTCAATGAACTTGTTGTAGTATTCAGTGATAGACATGTTCCCCCGTTCTTAGGTTTGTAAACTCCATACACTTCTGCTTTCTCAGGTAGGACGGGTAAAACTTCTCCCTCAAAGCTTCCTTAAACTCCTCCCTCCCAAAGTTTGGTTTCTTTAATAACTCATCCTTTCCTTGGGCCCACCATAAGTCAGCTTCCTCCCTCATATAATAAACTTTATTGTTCACCCTCAGCTCACTTGGGCACTTGATAGCATTAAACAACTTGTCAAACTCCCAAATCCAATTTTCAAGAATGTCTAGGTCCTCTTTTCCCAAGTAAATAGGTGGTTTGGCTGCAGCAACTCTCTTAAAAACTTCACTGTAAGAGTCAAGGTCAGAATGACATTTTCCTTGGTTCACCACTTTCGTGATGTTTCAGTGATATGGGTTAGCTTTCTAAGGACTTTCCCTACTTTGGAACCAGTGCGCCTATTTCCCACTTGGTTTCTCATTCTCGCAGACATAATTCCTGAGGATTATACCATACTTTGAAAATTAAAACAAGTTCTACTCATATAAGCATTTGATTCATTCAAGCTGTAGACACCTAAAAATGTGTCCCCAAAACCAAACTTGATGATGAACAACCTTTCACTGCCATTATTGGACTGGTCGAGTATTTAGTCTCGGGAGTGCTTAAAATCCACATTCAGTCAAACACAGTCTAGATATCAGTCCACAAATCAATCTAAGGATTTATTCAAAGCGTAGTCCAACCCTCATTTCAGCCAAACCCTTTAATTCATTTCATTCTATTTATTAATTAAGCCCGATTAATAAATATCACAACCCTAAAACCTAATTAAGCTCGGAATAACTGCAACCACTACTAGAAATAGGCTTATTTCCGAGGGAATGCTTCCGACGGAATTTAAGTCCCTTGGAAAATTAAAAATTTCCGAGGGAAATTGACTTTGTGGGAATAGTCCGTCGGAATGTTTCCTTACCGATGGAATATTCCCTCGGAACATTTTCGACGTATTTTTTTCCCTCGGAATATTTGGGTTACGACGAAATATTCCCTCGAAGTGGCTTCCGATGGAAATTATTCCCTCGAAAATCACAGGTTCCGACGGATTTTTTTCCGTCGGAACCTGTGATTTTCGAGGGAATAATTTCCGTCGAAAGCTGTGAAAAAAATAATAAAAAAAAAACGCAACCCTATCTGCATTCTGTACAGAACACAGAAGGAAAAAAAAGAGAGGAAGAGAGAGAAGGCGACACGGGAAGAGGAAGAGAAAGAAGAAGAGAGAGGAAGAGGAAGAAGAAGAGAGAGAAAAGGAGAAGGAGAAAGAGGAAGAGGGAGAAAGGGGAAGAGGGAGAAAGGGGCACGAGAGAGGAAGCGGAAGAGAGAGAAAAGGAGGAGGAAGAGGAAGAGAGAGAAAGGGAGAAGGAGAAAGAGGAAGAGAGAGAAAGGGGCACGCCACCCAGCCGTCGCCACCACGGCCCCCTCTGCTGCCGCCCCACCGCCGGTAAGGGTTTTTGTCAATTTTGTTTTTTATTTATTTTTTTCCTTAAAACCCTAACCACCACCTTTCACCTAGGGTGTACGGGAGTTTTCACCTAGGGGATAAGTCGTCGGCGAGTCTGCAACAACCACGCCCAGCCACCACCGCCGCCGCCACCAGCAAGTAGTTTGCATTTCTGTTTTTTTTTTTTTTTGGTTTTTTTTTTTTGTTTTTTTTTTAAGTTAAGTACACAAGATTAAATCATAAATGTAGTTTATGCTTTTGTTTGGTGTTAATTTTTTGTGTTAAATTTGAATATTTGTAGGTTTTGTGTATTGAATTGTTTATTTGGCAATTACAAACTTAGATCTACAGGTTAGACATTATTTTAAAGCTAAATTTATAAATTTAGTATATACTTGGCATGTTAAATCCTAATGGTGTGTAGATATATGGTAGTTTATTATTGTTTTTAGTTATTGTATCAACAATTTGTTATATTTATATTTCAATTTGTTGAAATATTTGAAATGAATGTGTTTGTGTTATAATATGTTAGATTAGTTTAGTTAATTTAAGTATAGTTTTTAATTACTTTATTATAACACGTTACTTTAGTTTGGTATAGTTTAGGGTAATATGTTAGTTTAGTTTAGTTGTTTATAATAGGTTAGTTTAGTTTGGTTTAGTTTAATATGATAATGTATGTTGGTTTGGTTTAGTTTAGCTTAATATGATGTATGTTAGCTTACTTTATTTTAATATAATGTTGTTTAGTTTTGTTTAATTTATTATAATGTAGGTTGGTTTGGTTTAGTTTAATATGATGTATGTTACATTACTTTAGTTTAATATAATGTAGCTTAGTTTAGTTTAATTTATATAATGTATCTTATTTTGGTTTAATATAATGATATTTTAGTGTAGTTTGGTTTTGTTTGATTGGTTTATTTGAATATTATGATATGTTAGTTTTCTTTAGATAAATTATGATATATTTGTTAGTTTAATGTAATGCAAGTTAGTTTATATATATATATATATATATATATATATGTATATATATATATATATATATATATTATAATAATAAATGAATCATTTGCATAATCATATGCCTAGATACCCGTTCAAGGCATATACATTAGGAGTATGTCTTGAATAGTCCTCGGTTGGGACTGTCCTTGTACGCTTATTCTCACTTAGGTGGTGAATGTAAGCCTTATTTTTGATTCTAGGGAAAATCCTGCCTTTTCATGCATTTCTCTACCGTGTTCTCTGGGTACATATGTAGGTGTGTATAATCGCCCACATCGTGTACTTGGAGAACTGTAGGGAAATGCTGGCGCATTTTCCATAGAATTGAAAACCTGGGTTACAGTCACTAGTGAGAATAAACGTACAAGGATGGGTTAGGTTGGAGTGATAAGGACCCTTTGGAAGCATTTCAAATCTCATTTGCATTTCCATAACGTAGTGGTGGATAATGACTACGATATACCGTTCATGACTAATGTGATTGTACATATGCGTGAGCTATGTAGAAGTTGTAATCATGAAACGAAGAGAACGTAGCTGGATGTATAAAAGGACGATTGGGCAAAGTATTAATCCAGATTTCGTGAAAGGAGTTGATGAATTCATTCAGTACGTCAGAGATCGTCCCGAGAGTAGTAATCCGGATGAGGTTAGGTGTCCATGTGTTAAATGTAAGAACAAAGGCCTTTTGAAATGCGGATACGGTTAAAATTCATCTGTATGACAAGGGTTTCGTACCTAACTACTATGTGTGGATGTGTCAAGGGGAGGGGTATCCGGGAGTTCCCGAACGGCGGTCCAATGAATATCATGACATGGTTTTGGATGCTTTTGGTCATAGTCAAGATCAGGGGCATTCCGAGGAGCCTAGTGTTTCATCAGAGGAGGAGCCTAATGCAACTGCTAAGCATTTTGGATTTGTTGAAGGCTTCTGAAAGGCCATTATACGAAGGGAGTTCTTTGTCTGTGTTAGAGATGGCCGCTAGAATCACTAGTCTCAAATGTGAGTATAATTTGCCTCATAGATGTGTTGATGGGTTTGCTTCTTTGCTAAGTGAGGCGATTCCGAACAACAATCATATGGCCGACACTTTCTACGAGGTGAAGAAGATTGTGAAGGGGTTGGAACTGTCCCATCAAAAGATTCATGCGTGCCCGAAAGGGTGTATGTTGTTTTGGAAGGATGATGCTCAGTTGTCTGAATGCAGGGTGTGTGGCAGCGACTGATACAAGCAGACTTCCAAAGGTAGCCTAGTGCCTTTGAATGTTCTATTTTATTTCCCGATCACACCCAGGTTGCAAAGACTGTTTGCAACAAAGAACATTTCGGAGGAAATGACATGGCATTCGAAATATCCTAGAGTTCAAGGCACAATGGCACACCCTAGTGACAGCGCAGCTTGGAAGCACCTCGATTGTCGATTTCCAGAGTTTGCTTCTGAGCCTCATAATGTGAGACTTGGCTTGTGTACAGATGGTTTTGCTCCTCATGGTAAGTTTGAGGGTCAATATTCTTGTTGGCCTGTCATCTTGACCCCTTATAACTTGCCTCCCTCAATGTGCATGAAAAGACAATTCATGTTCCTTTCGTTGCTCGTTCCTGGTCCTAAAAACCCTAAGGGCAACTTGGATGTTTACATGCAACCGTTGATAGAGGAGTTGAAACTGTTGTGGGAAGTTGGCGCGGCTACTTATGGTATTTTGAAGAAACAGAATTTCAATCTTCGAGCAGCCATCCTATGGACCATTAGTGACTTCCCGGCTTATGGCATGTTGTCTGGTTGGGCCACGGCTGGTAAGAAAGCTTGTCCACATTGCATGGAGAAGACCAAAGCATTTTGGCTTGAACATGGTGGTAAAGTTTCTTGGTTTGATTGCCACCGGCAATTCTTGCCGACAGATCACCCTTTTCGGAACAGTAAAACAGCATTCTGTAAAAACAAAGTAGAGAAAGGAGTCCCTCCACACATCATGTCAGAGGAGCTGTGGGAATGTGTTAAGGACCTTTCGAAGGCTACAGATGGACCCGATTCAATTAAAAGGCTGAAAAATGAAAAGAAGGGGTGTTTCAAGCAAAGCACCTTGTGGGAGCTCCCATATTGGAAGCATCTCCTCATTCGTCACAACTTAGATGTCATGCACATTGAGAGGAACTTCTTTGATCAATTAATTCACACTGTAATGGATGTGAAAAAGCTTACGTGTGACACGCCTTCAGCTCGGAATGACATTGATAAATATTGTAAACGTCCCCAGCTTCATCTTCAAGAGGATGATAGAGGAAAAGAGGTAATGCCAAAGGCTCCATTTTCTCTTGACAAGGCTCAGAGAAAAGTTTTGTGTGAGTGGGTTAAACAGTTACGGTTCCCTGATGGTTACGTCTCCAATTTGAGCAGATGCGTAGATTTGCAAGCGTGTAAGCTCTATGGAATGAAAAGCCATGACTGTCACGTGTTCATGGAGAGGATGTTGCCCACAGCTTTGAGGGAATTGCTCCCTGGCCATATTTGGAATGCAACTACAGAGATCAGCCAATTCTTCCACGACTTGTGTTGCTATACAACATCAGTTAGTGACATGGAGCGATTGGAGAAAAACATACCTGAGATCCTCTGCAAGCTTGAGAAGATCTTCCCTCCTACATTCTTTAACTCAATGCAGCATTTGCCTACACATTTGCCGTACGAGGGGAAGTTATGTGGTCCTGTACAATACAGATGGATGTATCCCTTCGAAAGGTAAATCAAATACCCTTATTTCACATCCTTTATTTTACATCCTAATCAATTGTTCATGCAGTTACATAACAACTGTAATTGCAGGTTCCTCAATCATTTGAAACGGAAAATTGGGAACAAGGCTCGAGTTGAAGGGTCCATATGCAATGCTTATCTCACTAAAGAGATAGCAAACTTCTGCTCCAATTACTTTCAGTCGACAATTGACACTAAAACTCGAGATCTTGGTCGAAATATGAATGCCGACGTTGAGTCCACATCGGACGACGCTGAAATACCAGAGTTGTTCAAAGAGGACAGTGGTCGTGTGTCAAATGAGGGTAGAACTCGGTTCTTAGATGACAAAGAACTCGAGTGTGCACATTTGTTCGTGTTACGAAACACCGGCATTCTTGGCGAATACGAAAGGTATATTAGGCCCAGGTATTCAGTGTATTCGTATTTACGATCATTTACAATGATGACTTTGTAGATTTACAATGTGTGTTTGGCCTCGTAGGAAGTTTGAGGACTACATTCTTAGTACTCGACCTTTCCTGCATAGAGAAGATGTCATGGAGAATTTCGAAACTGAATTCTCTGATTGGTTTCATCACAAGGTGATATGCACGGTGTAACCGTGAAATAATAATGAATTTTACATGTTACATTTCAATTCATTGAATTCTGGAACCTTGATGTTGATATTCAACCACTTTATAGGTGGTTGAAGAGAAGCCAAATTCGGATGTCCAGCGAACGTTGTGCATGCGTCCCTTCATGCGAGTTCGTACTTGGGGCCAGATTTTTATAGGTGGATTTAATTTCCGTACACTTGCCCATGGCAAGCACAAATCCACCATGAATTATGGTGTGTGTGTATCAAGTGAGGATGGCGTAGAGTACTTCGGCATCTTAGACGACATAATTGAACTTGTCTACACGGGACCCAAGAGACAGTACAAGACAATTTTGTTTAAGTGCAATTGGATGGATTGTGGTAGGGGAATGAACATACACGAACAATACAAGCTAATCGAAGTAAATAATACTAAGAAATACCCCAAATATGATCCATTTGTTTTATCTTACCAAGTGGCTCAAGTGTACTACGCATCATACCCTAGCCTGAAACGGGACCGAGTTCAATGGTGGTCTGTGTTTAAAACACATGCAAGGTCAGTGGTTGATGCTCCGGTGGACTTAGAGTTTCTGCAATCACCATCCCCAACATTACATGCAACGCTTTGCCCGCCGAGTGACATTCCAGACTACGCCATGGATGATGATGATGAAGACGATGACGATGGCTTTGTGATCTCAAGCGATGAAGACGATGAATTTAGTATCGGCTCTAGTGATAGTGACGATGGTGATGACATCGATGTAGTATTAGATGATAGTAGTGATGACTCTAGTAGTGAAAGTAGTGATGAGAGTACTGAATAGGAGAATATGTTAATCTCCTTTAAAAGTATGCTTCTTATTGTAAAATCAAAATATTAATGAGGCTTATGTAAAACTTTTTAGTGTTTGTATAAAAGCCATATTACGTTGCACTGCACTCCTTATTTATAATATCTTGTCATTTTAATAATATTTGATTCAGGTAGTCATAACGGCGCCTAATTATCTCGCACTTAATGTAAAATAAATAAAAACGAATTTTAAACAGAATATCAGAAAAATCATCTGTTGCGCCACGACAAAAGCTGTCGTGCCATGGAAAAAGCTGCTACGCCACGGGAAATTCTACCGTGCCACGACAATTTATTCCTTCGCGACGCCTCATTTATAGGATTCGTACATCACCCCTCGCATTTCCTCTATAAATACAAAGATGATTTCACAGTTTCGGAGGACCAAAAAATTCTCTCTTTCTCTCTTATGCTCTAGCCTAAACACTTGTCTTCCTAGTTCTCACAATTCATCCCTTAAGCACTCCCTGGAGTCCATACAACACCCGAAGTTCCATACTTAACCCAAGGCGTAAAAGGTAGAACTGTTTGAGGGTTTGGCCCCAAATCAACTTTACTTTCATTTTGATTTAATTTCTATTTTATTAATCCCTCCATTTCATAATGTTAGTCCCATATACTATTTTGGACGTTTCAAAAAGATCTGTCCATATTGAATATTTTCTATTTTTAACTTAATTTTTATGGAATTAATTGGTTGTGGATTAATGACATGGCTCTAAGTAAGGAAATCTCTACCTTGAATTATGCATTATGACTTATGCTTTTCCAAAAAAAAAAAAAAAAAAAAAAAAAAAACTTAAATAAAGTAAACTAATTATGAATTATTTTGTACTTTAATGTTAGATTTCAAATATTCTTCTTTTCTTATTTTATATGATTGATTCCATATGGGACTAACATTATGAAACGGAGCGAGTAATAATTTTCCCTGAAGTTACTAACGTGTTTATTGTTTTATAGTTGCAAGCAAAAGCAATCAAAGTAAGGAATCATGTTCTTTTTGTTCCTGTTATATTTCTAACAGTTTTTGTTATGTTTTTCATTTACTAATCGTTGTTATTACGGATAAATTGCTTCCAATATTGATGTTTATTCTATTAAGTTTGTTGATCACCATATTTCATGTTTAATGGGAATACGTAATTGAATATAACGCCTAATAAGATAATTTGGACGACCGGTTTAGGATCTTTTTTAATCTTGTTGTTTAATTGAAGTGATCATAATATTTTAGAATTATATGTTGCATTAACATTCAACCAATTTAGCTTAATAATAGTTTGGAGCAAATTAAATCTTTGTTTGTGTGCCTTTGAGATCGCATGAATACTTTTCGTTATAAGAATCGAGTAGAGTCCAATGCGGGCGAATGTGACTCCTTTACTCACTTCGTAACATCATCCCCGATCCTCCTTTCGTGGTTTCGAACCATATGGAGTTAGTAATCTCATGGATTATGAATGGGGTGTAACCTTCACGAGTCAATCATTGTTGCCTTTCGTTGTCCCTTATTCATTGTTGCCTTATAATGATCCGTGAACGATTTACAAGTTCCTTAAAAACTTGTTAGGGGCTCCCTACTTTATTTGTCCCTAATCGTATATGTTGATGAGTGTCATTTATGGCACTCATATGGTAGAATTTTATGACGTTTTTCTTCTCTTTTATAGCTTTTCTCTTTAAATAATGCCTTAGTTTCATCCATTTTTGCTTTAGTTTCTTCGTTTCCCTTATTTTGTGCTTTCTTGTGATTTAAGGGTAATTTCGTCTTTTCTACTCAAATCGCTTTACTTTCTTTTATTGTAGGTCTTGTTTGGGGCTCGGGATTTATTTTGGAAGATTCTCCAAGTCTTTTGGATGCTCGGGACAAGACCTTATATCATTTGGTTGCCTAAAATTCAAGCTAAGAAGCAAGCTCCTACTCATGTCATTAGCGCTCTCGTGCATCATTCTCATCACATGTCTTGGTCATGAACACGCTAAAATGAAGATTTGAAGGCTTCCCTCCTCGTAAGCAACACATGAGAGCGTCAGTGAGGAGCATGCTTGTGAGCGCAAGAACCAAAGCAAGAGGTCAAGTGCTCATGCATGCTAGGCCGATTGTGTGGTGCGTGAGCGCAACAAGGAGCCATGAAGGGCACACACCCTATGGTGCATGCGTGCACACCCACTTGTGCGCACGCACCACAGGTTGGCCGAGCTCCCTTGGCTAGCCTCCCATAAATACCTTAGTTCTTTCTATTTTTGGGGGATGACGTTTTTTCTAGTACATTTTGACATTTTCCAAATTTATTAGAGAGAGATAGTAGAGAGAAAAACACTTGGATAATTGAATTGTACTTCAAATTACTTCAATCAAGCTTGAATTTCCCCTTAATCGATGATAATTAGTGAGATTTCTTTTCTTTAATTCTTCTCTTTTGGTTTTATTTTAGTTTTGATCTTGGATAATTGTTTGATTGGTTTAATTTCTTGATTAGTTGCTTAATCACTTGAATTTCTCTTTGATTAGTTGAATATGATAATGATCATGATTAGATTTGTTTTATTTCTTCAATTCATAATAATTAGTGAGTAGATTTCTTAGCTAGGGTGTTGGGGAAGCATGTTTGATTGATAGTTTGATGCTAATTTGGTGATTTTGATCAATAGATTGTTGTAATTAAATGGATTGATGAAATTGTGCATGTGTTTAGCATAATAGGATTGATCAACCTAGAGTTCTAAACTTGATTGCATTGATGATCTTGATGACATGACCACTTGATTTGAGATTGTTAATTTTCAACTTGTTTGAGTTGTGATTCTACTAATTTGTTATCCATAGTGGAAACCTAGCATGACAATTAGTCTAGATAGCCTTTTGAACTCGTTGAATGCAATTGTCATTAGTCCTTGTAACGCTTATTGCTTCGATTCACCCCCAATTTGGCTCTACTAACGTGATTGCATGTGGAACCTAATCCCTAGCATCTTTATGATTGTTTTTTCCTCTATTATTTTCTTTGTTTGATTAGTTTACTTGATCACACACTCATACACTCCCTTCAAGATAGCTTAACACATAGACTATAGTAATTGACCCTCCATTCCTTGTAGATCAATCCTTGACTTGCCCCTTTACTATTGTTTAGGTTAGTCGAGTGTTACAAATTTGTTGATAAGGTTTTGAACATATAACGACGTGTTTAAATCCTGTGTCATATGTCAATTCCTACTTCTTAAGATTGCCAAGCATATTCACACATCCTTAGGTAGGCGCGCTTCGATCGACGCCTACATAAGCGCATGAAAAAAATTCAATAAAAATAACTTTATTTCATTAATAATCAAATTGAAAATATAACTTTACCATATAAGGAAATTACTAAAAGCATTAAACATAACATAGTACAATCATTCATGCAACACACTCAGAATAGTCATCCTCATTTGGATCATAGTCTAGATCGTCTTGCTTAGCCTTCCCCTTATCATTTGGGTCAGTCATGAAAGTTGGATTATAGCCACTGTAACTTGAAGTTTGGCCTCAACTTGAATGTGGACTGTAATTTAGGCTTTTGTGTGACTAGCACGACCACAAGTTGGCTTGGAAGAAGCATTGGGCTTTTGTTGAACTTTTGGTGAAAGTGGATGATATTCTGGACATGGTGATTTTGGATCAATAGAACGGTTAAAATTTCATGGCCTCTTGGCAATACGATAATGGACTTTTGGGCTTGGACACTTTGGAAGTTTAGAGGTGTCATAGCTTGGAGTAGTTGAAGGAGAAGGTTAATTCTTTCTCCTCACAAGAGGTGGTATGGACTCATCAATGGAAGACTCAAATTCATTGTGACGCTTTCAATACACAAAGGGTAGTTGAGCGTTCAAATGGTAAATTTGATCAAGTTCTTTCAAGGCAGCATTCTTCCCAAGTTTGGATGTTTTCACAATTCTCCTTCTAGGCTCATAGTCACGTTCAACATAGTGCAAGTCTTTCTTGAAGCTAGACATGGTTGCTAACCACTTCCCTTCATGATGGTGTCTTTCATTCCACATTTTGTTCTCTTTGATCACATCCCCATATTTGTCAAAGATAGGTTTGTATTTGTAGACTCTAAGAAAATAGGCTAAGGCTAAAAGAATCATCCATGGTGGTTGGGTAAACACTTCCGATTCCAAATTCTCATAAAGGGTTAAAGCCAGGGTGACTATGCCAGTCACAAACTCACTCACACTGACTCCATCATTTTTCAAATAGTGCAAATTAAAGAAGTTCTTTCTTATTTCATCAATCCTTTATGTCTGTTTTACACATGCAAAATAAAATTCAATTCAAAAATCCGTTTGCATAAGCAATTCATAACTCAATCAACCAAGTATAACTCAAGATCACCCAACTATGGGTAATAACTCAAAAATTCGGACCTCTTGACCATAGACTAAGGTGTTGTAACACCAACTTTAATTCACAAGAAATCACACCGACTTAAGCTTTCAAATAGCTTCAACTCTTTTTGTTTTCGAAAATAATAATAATGTACTTAAATCATGATATAGACAGTCCAGCTCGCGTCTCCCAGGTAAGTTACCTACAGTGTCGAGGTGAGCCTTACTTACACAAAGAGTCGTACCCATTATATGTGTAATACCCCGTATTTTCGAAACATATTTTCTAATTAATTAAATAATTAATATTTTCTAAAAAGGGTATTTTAGTAATTTACTTTATTGGATTTTGGAGTCAAAATGATATTTGAATTTTGGCGCCAAAAGTATTTTAAAACTTAATTATTATTTTTGGATTTTGGATAAGATATATTATCCATTTATTTTTATTTTAAAAACCGGAATATATATATATATATATATATATATATATATATTAATTGGATCTTTTAATTAAGCAAAATTATATTTTATTATTTGATAAAAAGAGCTGAATTTCCTAATTAATCAACTAGGAATTTTCGGATTTTCTTAGTA